ATAAACAAACAAAGATATTGTGTACAACGAAAAAATAAATATTAAAAAAAGTACTAAAAGGAGGGGCTGGGGTTGTGGCTCAGCAGTAGAGTGCTCACCTAGCATGTGTGAGGCCCTAGGTTCGATCCTTGGCACCACATAAAAATAAATAAAATTAATGTGTCCAACTACAACTAAAAAATATTTTTTAAAAAAAGTACTAAAAGGAAAAGGCTGCCCCATTTTTCTGTTTCCTGTATTTTTAGCAAATGATTCATTAATAGAGGAAGTCATGCAAATAAAAATGTGATAGCTCGGCATGGTGGCACATGCCTGTAATTCTAGACTGAGATCAAAAGTTTGAGGCCAACCTCAGCCCGAGAGGGCCTAGGCAACTTGGTGAGACCCTGTCTCAAAATAAAAGGGGCAGGATTGTGGCTCAGTGGTAGAGTGCTCGCCTAGCATGGACGGGACCCAGGTTCGATCCTCAGCACCACATAAAAATGAAGGCATTGTGTTGTGTCCATCTACACCTAAAAAATAAATATTAAAAAAAAAATAAAAGGTAAAAAGGGCTGGGAGGCTGGGCATGGTCACATGCTTGTAATCCCAGTGGCTCAGGAGGCTGAGGCAGGAGGATCACAAATTCAAAAGGGCTGGATAAAGTGCCCCTGTGTTCAATCTCCCCAGTACAAAAAAAAAGTAAAGTGATAGAACACTATTGCCTTCTTGATGTTGTAAGTGCTAGTTTGAATGGATCAAACCCATGGCCCACATTCTAGGCAGTCTCTCTACCACTGAGCTATACCCCCAGCTCCCAAGAGGTAAAGCATTCCTTGAGAATGTCTTGAGTCCCAGCTGATGCAGTTGTAGACATAGACAGCTTGTCCTGGCTTTGTCTCTCTGAGGTCCCATTTATCACATGCACTGGAATTCTCTGCTCGTGTGGGATTGCAAACATAAGGGAATGGAGGCAATAAGGAACAGTGGACATGCATAGCTCATAGACCTTCAGTTGTGTACATGATCCTTTGTCCCACCAGAAGTCACTTAGAAAACAAATTCAAAAATAAGATTATTTAAAAATTCGGGACAGCAACAACAGAGCATTAAAGCAAGTGTGGCTCTTCTGAGCACAGGGCATGTGCACAAGTGGAATGACAACCAAGACAGTTCTGGACACAAAAGAAGGAGGAACATATGATATGTTGACCATATCCAGTAGAGACTGCTTGTAAACATAAGTGAGAGAGAAAGATATAGAGGCACTGAGGAAGCCATGTGATGAAAGAGCACATCAGATGCTGACTTTCTAGTCCTGCAAGTCCCGTGTCCTGCAGTTAACCAGCCCCGAACTGGGCAATATAAAGATGTGCAACTGCATTGTTAGATCATGGTGGCTTTCAGTGAACTAGAAAATTATGCTCCTTTCTTCAGATATTTTACTGCCATCTGTTGGAAAACTGTTATAATAACTATATTAACTAATAATGACTACATTGAGAGTTAGCAGCAATCCTTCCTGTTATCCTCAGAGTACCTAGGGCCAGAGGCACGAATGCTCATAACTAGAATCCTGAGCTTAGCAACTTAGCAGTGTGTGGCAGGCAGGATCCCCACCACACCCCTAACTTCCAGCCACAGAGGTAGTGAGTTGAATATCAGAACTAGTGATTCCTTACTTTATATTGTTTTGATCCTAGCACCCCATGAAGATTGTTGTGCTGGGGTCTTTATGGCCACTTCCAACATTTGACAAGGCCTGCTATGTAGAATAATTTTTTGTATCTAGGAGAAGATTAAAAGGGCCAACAACAATAAAGTCTATTTTTGCTTTTGACTGGAATTATAGTAACTCTGCAGTCCACATATCTTATGCTAATTAAAAGGTTTGAGCATTAGATAATGCATAATTTAGTAATAAATATAAGAAAACTGACTATAAATTTAGTTTGTTTTCAGAGACAACATCTTTCTTATAGGGTACCTGGGGTGGGAAGGCAATAAGATGACTTTCAAAGATGCAGATAGTGGTAGAAACTACTTCTTATATTCAGGCCCTTCTTCATGGAGGTGTTAGGTCAAAGATTTAAGAGACAGGGTCTTGCCCAATGTCACATCATCTGAATAAACTGAAAAGTTAGGATCCTAACTCAGGCTTCCTGGCTTCTGAGCCAGAAACTTTCTCATCTTCCAAGAGTAGGCAGCTGCTTCTCTCTTCCTCCTTCTTCCTCTTGAACTTTTATGAACCTTTATTCAGACTCATAGGAAGAAAAGATATTAACATTGCCAAAAGATAATCAAATGTATGATATGTCAAGATCATTGTATTGTCATGAGCAACTTATAAAAAAAAATAAAAAAATAAATTGAAAAAAAAAAACATTGCCAAAAGATGATTGTACATTGTGAATATCTCGTATATAATCACTATAAATAGGGGTGGTGGAACACGCCTATAAGCCCAGTGACTCAAGAGACTGAGAGGGAGGATTGCAAGTTTAAGGCCAGCCTTAGCAATTTAGTGAGACCCTGTCTCAAAAGATAAAAAGCGTTGGGGATGTGTGTCCCTGGGTTCAAACCCCAATACCCAAACAAACAAAAAAATTCAAGTATATTAATTCTTTCATAAGAGCCACCATTTCTAGTAACCCAGTTAATTTTTGAAATGTTAAAAGTCTAGTTGGTTGTGTCTACAGGTGTAATCCCAGCAGCACACACCTGTAATTTAGCATCTTGGGAGGCTGAGGCAGGAGGGTCACCAGTTCAAAGCCAGACTCAGCAACTTAGGGAGGCCCCAAGCAACTCCATGAGACTCTGTCTCTAAATAAAATACAAAAAAGAGCTGGGGATGTGGCTTAGTGGTTAAGTGACTCTGAGTTCAATCCCCAGTACCAAAAATAAAAAAAGACTCTTGTGCTACTTGATTCTTTAAAATTCATTATTATAAATTTAATCATTTGTTAATTAAATATCTTTTTCCATATAACAATTATTGTATGTATTTTCTGTTATATCAAAGGCAGATTGATGCAATCTAGAAAACTGATACTGTGGTTTTATATGTTTCAATTTTACAGTCAACACGAAAAAGTACTAAAATATTCAATTATCAGTTGCATTTCTTCACCATTTATGAAGGTTTCATTTGTATACAGTAAAATTTACCATTTTTAGTGTACAGTTCTTGTGACTTTCGGCAAACAAACAATTGTGTAACCACCACCACAATGAAGATGTACAACTTCATCACTTCCCCAAATCCTTGTGAGCTCAGCTACAACTAAATATATCTTCCTTTGGGGATCTGATCCAAGGGCCTTGCAATTCCCCTCACTAGACCATCAGCCTTTCTCAGGAAGCTCTTGGCCCCAGGCTGATGGGAATAAGGAGGCCTCTGTGTTCACAGTCTAAGGGAGAAGGCTGGGGGTAGCACATATAAGGCCATCTGTCCAGACTCTGAAGGCTCTCAATCCAGGGGGACACAGAGAGGAGGAGAGAGGGGCTGTGGGATGCACCAGCTGAGTCATTCCTGGTCTTGGAAACCCAAAGGTACTACTTTGCTTCCTGTGTTTGACCACCCCACCTTGCCTCAGATTCCTCAGATAAAAGGACAAGCACACACACTTACTTATATCAATATTTATGCTTGCAAATACACAATCATACATCTGATATATATAATCATGTACATACACAATCACCCCTATATACAATTGCTCACCCACATAGAAATAGATGTAAATATAGATACGTACTTGCACATGTTCTCACAGTACTTTTGGGAAGATTGCATCCCTTGGGGACATTATCAGCAATGAACTCCTCTTGCTTAATTTTATACTTCCTCGTGCATGGGGAAGCCTGAGGCTAACTCTTCTCTGGGGCTTTTATGTTGCTGTAGATTATGGTGGCTGATTTTTAACCAATTTAGGGAGCTGTGTCATTCAGAAAATGACATGAGGAGCCTGGTTACAAGCAAACTGTTGTGGGCTAGTGAGACAGTAGTAGGGTATGGGGTAGTGAATGTAGTGACTTCTTTTGTAGAGATGGATTATAGATGGTTGTGGGTATTACCATTGGTTATGGAGGACCTGTTTTTCTGTAAGATCAGAGGGATGTATTTCAGTTTGCATAAACTGGACTCTTCATTGAGCATGGGACAGGAGGGTTTTGATTACTTGTGCTTTCATTGGCTGATCTTTTCACCCAAGGCCTAGGTGCATGCTAGGCAAGCACGTTACCACTGAGCTACATCCCCAGTTTTTTTTCTTATTTTGAAACAGTGTCTCACTAAATTACTGAGGCTGGTCTCAAACTTGTGATTCTCCTGCTTCAGCCTGCCAAATTGCTGTGCCACTGAGCCTATCCAGCTGGCTGATTTTTCTTGAATGTTGTTCCATGAGTTGGGAGTAGGCAAGTTCTTCCTGGATGGAGTCAGGCTGACCCAGGTCTTACTGGAAGAAGCACCCAATCTATTATTGTGGTGGTGCAGAACTGTAATCCCAGTAGTATAAGTATGGACTACCCCAAGGAGGAATAAAATAAAGCATTGTTAATATTGCTTTGGGGAAGGGAACTGAGCAGCTGGAATTAGGGCCCTCTGCAATTAGATGTAGAGGGCTCCAGGAGTCTCCACTGGAGAACTCTTAGAAGAGGTGGGGCTCCAGCAGAGTCTGTAGGGGTAAAAGACAGGAATTAATCTGGTCTTAGCCTGGCATCTGTCTTTGTCTCTATCCTCCCTTAACCAAGGTTAGAATAAAAATACAAGAGGGCTGGGGTTGTGGCTTGGTGGTAGAGCGCTTACCTAGCATGTGTGAGGCACTGGGTTCAATTCTCAGCACTGCATATAAATAAAGTCCACTGACAACTAAAAAAATATTACACACACACACACACACACACACACACATATATATATATATATATATATATATATATATATAGGTGAGTGGATATGCCAGCCTCAATGCCTATATGATGTGGTAGGCAGCAAAAGGATTTTCTTTTTGCCTAACATTGTGTCCTACTGCTCTTTTCCCTTTAGACTAAGGGTAGACCCAATATGAAAGATGAAGTTCCTGCTTCCTGAGATTTCCCAGGTGAGAGAGAGTCATTGGCTCAAGCATTCTTGGATCCTTATAACTCTTCTTCCTTCTAGGAAGGACTCCATTTTAAGACCTGAACTACTAGGTTGCTCAGGTAGGGTCAGGGAGAAAGAAGGTATTGTATGTTTGCCGACATAAATCGATGAATACGAAGTGGAAGGGGAGGTGCAGAGGAAGAGAACAAATAAGCTGGTTCACTTTGAGCTTTTTAAATTCTAAATTACTGGTGGTACTTGCCTCCTAGAGACAGTTCCACACACTATGGAAGAAGAAACATGATTTATTTTTTGATGAACTACAGGCCAACTCCACTACTCTTTTTACTATCTCCTACCATTCCTCCCAATCCTAACCCTCTCCAGCCTCTTTATTGCTCCATGAACACTCTGGGCCTTCTCTGCCTCATACCCTTTCCTGGAATTCCCCTCAGATGTTCACTTGCTCTCTCATGTCCTTTATGCTGAAATGGGTACTCTGGATTGCCACTTTTTAACAAAAATATATTATGTTCTAGATATTTAAAATTCTCCTTTTCATTAATTTAAAATTAATTTATGAATCTTCAGTGTAATCTGCTGAGTGGTAAGAATGACTAATCTCATTTCAGAGAGATTAACGATATGTCTTAGTTTACATAGGTATTAAAAGTGGGAGTGGGGATTGAAATATTAAATCATAAGAGCATCCAGTTCTGTATTTCCTCTGGCTCTCTAACAAGTAATCACTCTGCCAAACATATTTCCTGTTGGAAAGGAGATCACTTTACAGTTGAGTATTCTGGGCCTCTGAGCAGTTACATTTCCCAGAGCAAATTAATACAGTCATGCTTCTGTTTTTACTTGTGTTTTATGAGTTGAGTTAGTATAATAGGTCTTCTAGCACTTGGTTACTCAGGACACAGTGGATAAAAGGTTTCTGGACTTTTAAACTAGGGCATTTGTTTCTTTTTCAGGTCTTCTCCACATCACCCCCAGAGTGATCATTCTAAGATGTGGGTCAGATCTTTTCAGTTGTTGGCTTAAATTCCTTTAATTTATCCCATCTGCACACCTGATAAGATAAAGTCTTTAGCCTGGCATTTGAAGTCTTTCTTGCCCTGGCCTCCCTCTCTGTTTCATCCCTTTTTATTTTAATGAATTACTTGCTGTTGTGTAAACAAACCATTTTATCTGTCATTCCCTGATGTTACACATGCTGCATTAAACATTTTCTTCCTCCCCACTTTTTAAATTTTTAAATTTTTTTTTACCAGAGAAAGTTCATATTCCAGATCTCAGGTTAGAGATTCTTGTTCACAAAATCCGATCTCAGGTTGGAGTATATACATCCTCTTGGAATCCTTCCCCGACCTTGCACCAACTCAGAGGGATACCTCCTTTCTACTTTGCTCTCACTAGTTAGCTCTCTAATCCCCCTCCATTGTCTCTATGTCCCCAGCATGCAGGATAGGGTGTAGATCATCTTGACTGGAGTTTATTAGGTTACTTTATCCTCTCCACTTTTCTCCCACCAGTTAGGGCAGGTTAGATTCAGGGAGGAGCTGGTGCTATGGTTTCCACGGATATTGCCTGTGACCTCCAGGCAATCCTCCCCAAGGGAACCACCAGTACTTGATAGAAGTACCAAGTAGAGAACCCAGGAGAATGCCCAGGCTCAGCCCTTAGGGAAATCAATTGCCTTCTACTGCCCTTAGTGGCAGCCTGCTAGAGCAGACCTTTCTGGAACAATAATAATTGTAATATTTACTAAATGCTCTATATTCCAGGCACTATTCTCACTACTTTACCTATATATGCATTTGTCTTATGTAATCTTTCAACTCCCCACCCCCCCACCTCTCCCAACTGGGAATTGAATTCAGGGGTGATTTACTACTGAACTACATTCCAGGCCCTTTTATTTTTAATTTTGAGACGAGTAGTCTCCCTAAATTTCCAGGAGTGACCTCGAATTTGCCAAGGCTGGCATTGAAGTTGGTATCCTTCTGCCTCAGCCTCCGGAGTCACTGGGATTACAGGAGTGCGCCAACTTGGCTGTTGGCACCTGGAGATTAACCAACTTGCTTAAGGTCATACTATAAATGACAAAGTCAGAATTCAAATATGAGCATTATTTCTAGAGCCTATGCTAGTAACCACTATGCTGTAGTGCCTTCTTGGCCTCTGATTTCATTTCCAATAGACACATCTGCTAGCTGAGGTAAATAAAATCAGATGGTCCTAAACCAAGGACCAGGAGGTAAATTTCCCTCTTCCTTATCCATCAGCTTTTCGCTGGCTCAAGGATGCATGGAATATTCTCACAGTTTGAAGAGGAAGGAGAACTTCCAAATGGCAGGAACCTCTGAAGACTCCCAGAGAGAAAGCGGGGAAAGCTCGGTGCGTGGGAAAAGGCCTGGTTGTGGGTGGGGAGCAGCGAGTAGACTGCGAGATTGTAGTCCACGTTTTGGTCTCTTAAACTCTATGTAACCTTGGCCAAGTCATTGTTTCCTCCCCCAGCCTCAGTTTCTGTATTTGTAAATTAAGGATAAATATAAGACAGTGCTGATACCCGCCGAAAGAAGGGGCATCCTCAGTTTTGCTGGGGAAAAGGCCAAGGAGAGGGGGCAGGGAGATTGCGCTGTGTGGGGCCTAGGGTCACAGGGTTGGGTGGGCTTCGGAGCTCAGTCCTGCCATCCTATCCCGGTGACAGGGCCGGCCTAAATCTCCAGACCTCTAAGGGGTAGAAAGTGGGGACATATGGGTCAGGGTCGTGGCACTGCGGGATGCGCCCATCTCCTCACACCTCCTCAGCCTTCCCAACCGGAGTCGCAGTCTCCGGGGATGCCGGCTGCTGGTGGCCAGGCAGCCGCCGGCCGCGCTGCGGCGACGCCTGGGAAGCTGCAGCCGGTGGGGGAACCAAGAACATCACGTCATCTTTTTCGCTAGGCGCCCGCCCCCTCCCCGACGGCGCCTGCGCAGGCGCGGCGGGAGGGGGTGGCCGCGGCGGGGCTCTCCCGGCGCTTTCCGCCCTTCTCCAGGCTCGCTCGGGCCGCGGCGCTCTGGGCTGGCAGCGGCGGCGCAGAGCGAAGGCGTCCAGGATGCGGCGCGGGGCGGCCCGGTACCCCTCTGCCCCGTCACGGCAGCGGCGGCCGCGGGGACCGGGCCAGGGTCGGGGGCGGCGGCCCGAGCCGCGGTAGCGGCAGCGGCGGCGGCAGCGGCGGCGGGAGGGGCGGCCTGAGGGCGGGCGGGCGCCCGGGTGCGGGGGCTCCGCGCCGCTCCGCACAGCCCGGCCCGGCTCGGCCCCGGCGCCATGAGCGGCGGCGGCGGAGGAGGAGGGGGCTCGGCGCCCAGTCGCTTCGCCGACTACTTTGTCATCTGCGGGCTGGACACCGAGACCGGGCTGGAGCCGGACGAGCTGTCGGGTGAGTGTGCGCAGAGCTCTGTCCGCTTGCCCGCGCCGACTGCGGCCGGGGACCCAGGAGGAGCCTCTCCCATCCCGCTTTGTCCCGGGAGCCGGGCGAGGGTCGGTGGACAGGACGCAGGGCGGGCGCGGACGAAGGGGGCGTCGAGCTGGAGGAGGGGGACCGGATAAGGGGCCCTGAGCCGGGAGAAGTCCCAACCGCCACTCCGGCCCTTTGCGTCATGGGCACTTCGCTAGGGGGAAGAGGGAAAGGGTCGTGTGGACTGGTGTAGGTTGAGTGACTTAATGTAAAATAAAGGGAGGCTTGTCTTCCAATACCCTTCTGGGGAGGGGGGGCAAGAAGGCATCCCGCGTCTTAGTGAAAGTAAGTTCCACTCAGACTTAAAAAAAAAAAAAAAAGCAAAACAAAAACTTGGTGGCTTTATCTGGCCTCTTCCCAAGATGCCTACAACATCAGTTCCTCAAAAAACCGTTATAACCCGCCTGGGTTTTCCGACGGATTGCGATTCTGCCCAGTCTGGGACATAAAGTAATGAAGTGAACTTGGGCCCACCAAGTATATGGGAACTCCCATGGCACTTGCAAGGGCTTGTACTCCAGGGCCATAACTTTTTATGAAAAGTAATTTATGTCCTTTATGAGTCCAGGATCATTTGTGAATAAAAGGGTGTCATCCTACTTGGGGTGGCTGTGTTGTTTCTCAAGTCGTCTTTCAAAGGGGGAAGTGGTGGAGGGGAGTGGCCGAGGGGCCCTGATCAGATTTGGAACTCACTGTGGGAAGTGTGTCAGAACTATAAAATCCCCGTGAATTCCACCCTATTGTCATTCCAAGTCTTTGAATTGTAACAGTGTTGAAAAGTTTTTGTCTGAAGTGTTCAGTTAATGGGTGGGGGGTTGTTATGTTACTACTTTAAAATTATATCATCCTGATTTGGTGAGGGAAATTCCTTTCCACTTTTCTTTCTTTTTCCCTCATTCTTTTTTGGTACCAGGGATTGAACGCAGGCCCTTGCATATGATGTCACAGTTTGCCATGAGTTTCTCTTGGTTTTTGTTTTTGGTACCTGGGAATGAACCAGTGACACTGAGCTTTTTTTTTTTTTTTTTTAAGGCCGTGCTGGGGATTGAACCCAGGGCATTGTGCATTTGAGGCAAGCACTCTACCAACTGAACTATATTTCCCCCCCATCCCCACTTTTTGTTTTTTATTTTGAGACAGGGACTCCTTAATTTGCTTAGAGCCTTGCTTAAGTTGTTGAGGCTGGCTTTGAACTTGCTGGGGTTTTAGGCACGGGCCACCATCACCTGCCACGTTTCTCTCTTGAAAAGTGTTCAGCTTGTTGACTAATTTTACTTTGCTTCAGAGATAACAGGACAGTTTCTTTTATTTTCTTTCTTTCTTTTTCTTGCCACCAGAATCATTCCAGTTTTTTTTTTAAGAGAGAATTTTTTAATATTTATTTATTTATCTTTTTAGTTTTTGGCGGACACAATATCTTTATTTGTATGTGGTGCTGAGGATCCAACCCAGCACCGCGCTCATGCCAGGCGAGCACGCTACCGCTTGAGCCACATCCCCAGCTCCATTCCAGTGTTTTTTATGACAAAAAAAATTAAGTTCACATCACAAATGAGAAAAGTGAATTTGTCTTTTAAAAATATGATAAATTTGTCATTTATCAAGGTGAATAACAAGCTGTTTCCCCAGATTAATAGCAGGTGGAGAAAAAAATCATGAAACTAGAAAAATATCATGAAATTATTTATTTATTGCTACCAGGGATTGAACCCAGAGGTGCTCTACCACTGAGCTAGATCCCCAACCCTTTTATTTATTTTTCAATTTTGAAACAAGTCTTGTTAAGTTGCTGAAGCTGGCCTTGGACTTGTGATCTCTTGCCTCAGCCTCCAGAGTGGCTGGAATTAAAGGCATATGCACCGTACCCAACTGGTTAGCTTTGTTTATTCCAGTTCATTTTTTTAAAAAAATGTTTTTGTTTTAGTTGTAGTTGGACACAATACCTTTATTTTATTTTTGTGTGGTGCTGAGGATTGAACCTAGGGCCCGGCACGTGCTAGGTGAGTGAGCTACCGCTGAGTTGCAACTCCAGCCCTCAAGTTTACTTTTTTAGGTCTTCAAATTCTTATAACAGATCAATTGATTATTTGGTTCCTTTGTATTATATTTTGTGACTTTGGGATGATATAGTTGTTGGAATTCAGTTCAAGTTATTGGTGCTGGAAGCGACTCAGAGAGGAAATGAGGCCCAGGAAGCAAAGTAAGGCCTACATCCTACTAGGTCATTTTTTAACTCTTAGTCTGGTGCTCTTCTCATGATACTAAATTGCATCTCATTGGCCTGGATGGAGGTCTTCCCCCCACCCCCCCAAAAAAGCGATGCTTTACTACTGAGCTATGTCCTACATCCCTAGCTTTTTTTTTTTTTTAATTTTAAATTTTGATAAAGAGTCTCCCTAGATTACCTACAGCTTGAATTCAGGATCCTCCTACCTCAGCTAACTGGAGTTGCAGGCATGTACCACTGCATCTGCCTCTGACTGGATGTCTTTAGAAAACAGTAGCACGGGGGCTAGGGTTGTGGCTCAGCGGTAGAATGCTCGCCTAGCACAGGTTCGATCCTCAGCACCACATAAAAATAAATTAATTAATGCTATTGTATCCAACTACAACTAAAAAATAAATATTAAAAAAAGTACTAAAAATAACAGTTATTCTCAATAAAAGAAATTTAAAGATGAAATAAACCAATGTTATTATGTTGTGCTTTGAGCATCTGATAAATTGTATAGACACTGGT